TATATGGAGCGCCAATGGAGTTTCGAAACGCTAAATTTAATATAACTAGGCCTAATTATCATTGCAAGTTCGTCAATCGGTTTATCATACTTTTTTATATATGTTTTGTTGTATTTCTAATAAGTAACAACATGCTACTTAAAAGCAAGTAAAATTAATACTATTATTACTAAACTATCAATTAATAATATTGGACGGTTTTTATTTTCGTTTTGTTATGAATCCTACGCTTTCTACTACATAACAAATACAGCAAATAAAATAAATACTAAAATATTGTAAATTACTGTAACATTAGTTTATTAACAATTATTTTTATTAGTATTAAAGTTTGTTATTGTTTTTATTTTCGTTTTGTTATGAATCCTACGCTTTCTACTACATAAATACAGCAAATAAAATAAATACTAAAATATGATATGATGTTATATATATATATATTTTTTTATTATTTACATTGTATCTGGAAAAACCAGCCAATTTGTCATTTAAATTACTGTAACATTAGTTTATTAACAATTATTTTTATTAGTAATAAAGTTTTGTTATTTTTACTATATTACTGTATAACGTGGTGCTATTTTTCTTTTTTTACAGAAACAACGCAGATGTTACGAAGTTGACCGAGTTTGAGATACGTTTTTTTGGTTCTTGCTATATATATTGATATAATTTTTATTAATGCTTGAATCAAATAAAAATTTATGGAATAAGTATAGTCAATAGATTAGTTTCGCATACGTTTTTTTTTCTTAAATGGAAATACGTTTCCATTTACCATAAATGTTCTGATCATGTTATAATAATATTGTAAAGGAAATTTGTATTTCCATATTTATATTTTCCATATAAAATTATCAATACATTGATAATTGCATGTGGTACATTTTAAAAGCCTTTCCTGCTTCTGTTATATTCATAAGCCCGAGAAAATCACTCAACTTGCTAGGCCTATTTTTTTAGTTGCATAACTGGAGTATAATTGTGGAAAGAAATGTTTCCATATATTTATTGCCATGGTATTCTTAAGGCGAAGATGACACAAGGTTTGTGATTTCTTGTTTGTTTTATTTCCATGTTACACTATTGCAAAGACAGAATTAGGTCCGTCAGATGCTAAAATAGACGACTAGCTATTTCTAGGTACAAACACGTGCGCTGAAGCGCAGTTCACCACTTCACATTTTGCGCTGCTGACTCTGTTTGCACTGTGACTCTCAGTTTTGCACTGTGACTCTGTGTTTTGCACTACTCAGTTTTGCACTGTGACTCTGTGTTTTGCACTGCTGACTCTCAGTTTTGCACTGGTGACTCAGTTGTGCGCTTCTGACTCAGTTTTGCACTGCTGACTCTCAGTTTTGCGCTGCTGCCAATTGTATTTTGTCCTTTTGGCGTTCCATAAGCTTGTTGTTGGCTGGCAGATTGTTGGCTGACTTGAATTCGATCCAAGTCGGCCACAAGTCAACTCGGCCACAGTCAACTCGGCCACAAGTCAACTCGGCCACAAATCAACTCGGCCACAAAAAGTTCGGCCACAAGTCAACTCGGCCACAAGTTAACTCGGCCACAAGTCAACTCGGCCACAAGTTAACTCGGCCACAAGTCAACTCGGCCACAATAATATTGCTGTTATTATTGGTGTCATTGTTATTGTTTTTATTACCGTTAGTTTTAATATCAATTATTAGTCTTAGCATTAACATTATGTATTTAAATTTTTGCTGATATTATTATTGTTATCATATAAATACAAAATTCTCGATTTTTTAAATTCATATTATTATTATATATTAGTCTTAATATTATTATTTTAATAATAGTAATTTTAAAAATATTGTTATTGGTGTTTTATTGGTATTTTTCTCATATTATTATTATTATTATGTTGCTGTTGTCACCTTTATTATCGATATTATTACCCTATTATTACTAAGTAGGCCTAGTATTATTATAAGTATCATAATTATTATTATTATTACTAATTAGTATTACTATTATTATAAAAATAAACGTTATCTTTAATTTATTATTGCTGTTATTATTGCTATTATCACCTTCAATGTTATTATCACTAATTAGTATTATTAAAATACATATTTAAATATTGTTATTATTACCATATTATTTCTATTAGTATTGTTAAAATAAATATTACTATTAATATTGTTGTTGTTATCACCTTTATCATCATTATTATGACTAATTAGTATTATTAAAGTAAATATTTGAAAAGGACTGACATGTCCCTGGTGAATCACGTCATTGGATGCATCCTTGTCACTGACGGGTTTCAAACATATCCCCCAATGGTCGAACAAATATGAAGGACTGAAGTCTGTCACTCAACAATACCAATTGTTCCTATTGTGGATAATTGATACTAGACTCTAGAGTTTGTGAAATAAATTGTTCTGGAAATGAAGTCATTGTGTACGTTTTGATACGTTCTTGAACCCAAAGATATTACAATGTTGACATCACGGGGTTCCTGAATATACTCGTCGCCAATTATATGTTGTGTATTCACTAATTAAAGTAAACAGCAAACTTAATATAAACAATTGTGACAGTCTGAGTCAATAAACATGCTTGCTCGCCATCACGGTGCGTGAGCATGAACGCTCTTTATTCCGCATCACACATACAATTGAATATTCATACGCGACATGAGTAAAGTGGCACCATAGGTAATGTTACGCAAGTACTAATATAGTACACTACTAATATCCTACACCTAGGCCTAGCCTAGGCCTCTAGGGCCGCCTAGGCTACATTACAGATACGATGGTAGGCCTGGCCCTAGGCCCTAGACCACCTATCCTAGGCCTACTACGACCAAATCACAGACTCTGATTCAGAAATCAATTCAATTCTCTCACCACATTATTGTTTAGTACACTTTGTTAAACAATAACAAAATTCTCCGACAGAATACGTCAAAAATGAAATTTTGAAGTGAAGAAACTATGGTTGTTCGCCCATAATTTTCCGTAAAAGTTCGTGAAAGGGCGCATATTTAATTGGGTTATATTTAAGTGATGTAATATTGGTCAGCTCTGATTGGCTTAGGCCTACAATGTAGATGACCTGACATTTTTTCGAGAAATCCTGTAATTGATAACGGTCGTAATAATTAATTTATAACTTCTTAGATTATCATATTTCGAGGGAGAATATTTTTTTTTTTGATTTATTATATTTTTAACTATTTTTTCGTAGGGTTTGTTTATCTTCTATGAACGTGGTCAACGCCGATCGCGAATTTGTGACCTCGGCCCACGAGCGCACTAGGCTAATTCTTTGACAAACATGTGTGGATCATGGCGACAGGTCGGTTTGTGTTTTCAACAAAGGATAACCCCGATTTTATATTGGTCTGATGTGAATATACCTTTAGTTAATAATTCGAAGATACTTCGTAGCACAGTATGCTATGCATCAACGTTTCGTTCGTACCCACATGTAGGCCAAGATTTCAATAATGCTAGGCCTAGGCCTAGTAAGGCTTGTTGTAAAGCGGGACGGCGGTCACAAAAAGGCAGGCGACTTCACACTTCACCTTATTCGAGTTTTGGCTTAGCGTCACCGATAAATGCACAGCGATTAGAAATAAGTTATTCAGTTACAAATAGTCAAGTTGTACCACACTTGTGTTTGTATAATAATCACAAATCGACACGACATTTATGTGGACAAATTTCAAGCTCATCAAGACCATTTTCAAACTACACATCTTTGAGCAGTATTTTCAGTTGGAAAGGGGATCAGGATGGAATGGGAGGAGCCGACGGGAAAAGTGGTAATAACGAGGGTAGTAGTAGTAGTGACCCAGGTGATGGAGACGGCAAAGATGATGGAAGTGACAGTGAAGATCAGCCACCAATTGAGGATCAAGGAGGACCATCACCATATACTGGGCCAGCTGCACCATCGATGATGTCGTTAACGCCAGTGACTGTTCCAGATGAGCTGTCACCTATACCTGTAATAGCAGTTACTAGGAATCCAGTGTTCCCGAAATTTGTAAAAATGGTTGAAGTAAGTCAATGTTGTAAGTGGAACTAACTCATCTTCTCAGTAGCTAGTTCTTTTTGTACTATTTTACTAATTAGCGTAAGTAAATAAGAATATATAAAAACTAAACTGAATACTGTACTTGGTTGGTACTTTTCCAAATACAGTGCACCATCCAATTCGAAATCCCTCTTCTCTAGTTCTGCAACCCCTTTAATTTGAGACCACTTTTCCAAAGACCCAAATAACAATTTTTAACACAAAGCTAGCCCTCTAATTGGACCAACCCTGAGACCACCCCAAATTTTTACCATGAAGGAGCTGAGTACCAAAGCTGAAATTTGGTGTATAAGTAGATCTAATATATCTGGTTAACTGGTGTAAATTTAAGAAAAGATTTTAACTGTCCACATGACGAACTGTTAATGGGAAACATAGGCTTTTTTCACTTTTTTAGGGCTGGTCCCAACTTTGAATGGATGCCATTCCATTTTAATTCATTTGATCAGCCCGTGCTTGCTTGTGGCTAGAGGCAATATAATAATATCTGTAATTTAAGATGTATACACTCACTCATACGGACACAGGGTGACATTGAAAATCACCAAAAAATTGCGTCATTAAACAAAGTGGCTATTTTCAGGGGTTTATTTAAGAGCCGGCGGCCGGCGCATTCGATCGGCTAATAC